TCCATCTAGTCAAGGCTATGGTTTTTCCAGTGGTCATGTATGGATGTGAGAGTTGGACTGTGAAGAAAGCTGAGCGCCGAAAAATTGATGCTTTTGAACTACGGTGGTGGAGAAGACTCTTGAGAGTCCCTTGGACTGCAAGAGACCCAACCAGTCCATCCTAAGGGAGATTAGTCCTGGGGAAGGACTGATGTTAAAGCTGAAACTCCAATACTTTGGCCACCTGATGCGAAGAGCTGACTCAATGGAAAAGATCCTGATGCTGGGAAAGATTGAGGGCGGGAGGAGAAGGGGATGACAGAGGATGAGATGGCTGGATGGCATCATTGACTCAATGGACATGGGTTTGGGTGGACCCTGGGAGCTGGTGATGGACAGGGAGGCCTGGAGTGCTGTGGTTTAAGGGGTCGCAAAGAGTCAGACATGACTGAGCGACTGAACTGAACTGAACTGAACTAAGAGTTCCAGAATACATACTGACTTTTAAATGTATTATGTGGAAATCATTCTAAAATACATTACATACTTTCTGACTTTCTTAATCTGAGCATATGCCCTAAGAACATTATCTTGATTTTTTGGTTTTTTCAGTTTTTCCAGTTACTTTCTTTAGTCAAGGCTTCCAACAGCCTCAATTCACTTCTATAGCAAATTCTTCTCTCTTCTAATGTGATGCCTCCAATCTGTTGTGCTCTTTGCAAATGGGTCAATGAACTCAATGGAGTTGTGGGTAAACTAATAGTAAGTGAGAGCCAAGTGACACCAAGGGCTCTACTGTGAGAACATCACAAAAGCTTCTGTATCTTTTTTTTGTGTGTGTTCCAATCATAGGTCATTGTTGCTTACGTCTTGATTCTAAGATGACTACCCATGTTGTAGGGTGGATATCTTAGTTCTGGAGATATGAGGGGGTACCGCAGTCTTTTGCCACTCTTAGCCAGTGCCATGAGATTCAGGGAGGAGGAAGAATAAAGCCCATAAGCTCTAGGGCAGGGACATGCTATGTGCATCTCTGTGATCATGAAATCGACATGCTCAATTAATGTTTTTGAGTGAATGAGGATTCCTTTGCAAAGTCAGCTCAAGGCATATTTTGAAGTCTTGCCTTACGTACTATTATTCCTTCTGTTTAGATTTCTCTCTCTCTTTCTGAGAAGTCTTTCCTTCCCTTTATATCATATCCATTTTCCCTTCAGGATGTTGTATTTCATGTCACTATTAGATGTGAGACAATCATATTTTCTATGAAAATATAAATTAAAAACCTTCTCCTAGAAATGATTTTACTTTTAGAAGAAGCTGCTTGTTAGTTGAAATTAAACTCTAAATACTAGAATTAAGGTGATATGAAAAATGGAATGGCTCATACATTTTTTGTGCAAAATCTGGAAGCAATTTGCAAACATAGATCAAGAGTCTTTAAAATGTTCATATTCTTTAATAATTCTTAGAATGTTTCCAAGGAAAATGATCTTTTTAGGCAAAGGTTTCTATTTTTTACAGAGAAGGTGCAACCCTCTGTGCTTTAATTTCCTGAAGGACTGGTGAGCTGCAGCTTCTTTTCTGCTGAGAAGGCTGCATGAAGTGGCTCCCTAGCTCTGAGAGCTGAGTGGAGTCAGGGAAAGATCTTTTACCAGCCAGACAGTAGTATTAGCAAATTATTTGAGTGCCAGGAATATTATCTTTGGTCTATCTTATTTTTTCCTCCAGATTTGAAACAAAGGGGAAAAAAAGTACAGTTTATTTAGATAGGCAGGAGAAAAATATGGGGAAATAAACAAAAATTTTCTGTCCTATTCTCACCCATGTCTAAATTTTTTTTGGAAGGAGAATAGACTTCAAGACACAGAATAAGCCTGAGGACTTTATTAACGGAGCCTTGTTATATAATATTTTAAACAAATACTCTTCTGCAGATGGTTTCAGAGACTGTGACACAGCCATCATGGATATTAAATGAATCATTTAGAAATATATATATATAACCAGGCTATGGGCCTTATTTTAAAATTTCATTAATATTCTTAACTGCCTACAGTTAAGCTTCTTCTTGAGTCAGGGTACTTTGGTTTAGATCTTCAGCTGGCCTTATTCTCATGGCAGTTTTAAGTCCATTCTCAAGAGCTTTGCTTTCAGGGAACTAACCAAACCTGAATTCATGTCATAAAGTGTTTTCCTTTCCTTATCTCTTTTGGTAACACATTCTTTATAATTTCCATTGCATTGAGTTATTTTTCATTGCTTTCCTGATTCCCTTACACAAATCATGTCTTCCTTATGGTCCCCTTTCCCTTTCTCACAGTGTTTATCATAACTTGTAAATATGCAGTATTTGTGTGTCTATTTCTTTAAGGCCTGTCTCTCTTCCTAGACTGTGAACTCCATGACATCTGGGGTGACCTCTGCTCAACATTGTATACCCATATCATAGCATACAGTAGACACTTATCAAATAATGCCCAACAAATAGACAAATATATTTGCTTTTGAAAAAAAAAGGTCAGAATTCACAACAAACAATGTGTTTTACCTTTAGGTCAGCAGAAGGTTTTGTGATAGTTCAAAGGGTAAAGTGACAAGTGATTTCAACCTTGGACTAAATGCATGAAAATACAAGTTAGACTTGCTATCACATATGAAATTGTACCCTTCAGTGATACAGACTTTTTATTTTGAACCTTGGAAAGGGGTTAACTCTTGCTAAAAAGAACATAAAAGATTTTGTTAAAGTAGAAAGCAAACCAACCACCCCATCACCCACAATAGCAGCAAAGAAAAAAATCTCCAAAGTGAACCTTTTCAGGAATGGTAGGAAATAAGATTAATAAAGTATAAATTCAGTTAATATATCAAAACTCTGTTAACAGTATTTTCTCATTGATTTCTAAAAAACAAAAAAGAGGTATAATTCTTTAGGTCTATATTTTTCTCAATGGTTACAGACTGATCAAATCTCTCTCTTGTTTTTTAAACAAGCTATTTGCTATGTTTTTTCTTGCTTTCTAAATCTTGTCTTACTGTTGGAATGAATTAGAATGAGGGAGAAACAAATAGAACAAACCAAAGTTATGGAGAAAGTATGTGTGTGAACTTTATTTCATCATGAGAAAATCACTTCTGTGCAGTAACAGAGAATACTGACATCTACACGATGATAGGGTGTTCTTTGTATTTAGATACATACCTTATATTTGTACACAATATATAAAATTCATGGAGAAAATTAATTTCTACAGTACAGTTTCTTTGTTGGAAGAGGACTTGTTCCGTTAGTTTCTTTTAGAAAATGACCCCCAGTTCTGTGACTGTGGTACCAAGGATCGCAGTTCCAATCCTGTAATTTATTAGACACCATAATCTTATGAACATTAATCGAAACTTAGAAACTACATCCTCCTGCAGGATGAAAAGAGAGACGTAAGTGCTCAGGCTGCTATGCTATAACTGATTTTAGCAGAATAGTATGATTTCCATGATGCATTATGAATAGAAATAGTTTTCCCGTAGGTCTGGTAAACAAAGATTAACAACATTGCTACACATTGTCTGCCTGCTCTGATGGCATGCACTTCACTCTTTAATCAAACGGCTGTATACACACATGGGAAACCAGGCCATCCCCCTTGAGGCCTTTCTGCATGGCACCTAGGAAGGCTCCTGGAGGGCTTTAGCACTTAGCATGGTGCTTTGGGACGGCAACTGCTCTCAAACTGATAATTTTCTTCCCAGAGAGAAGCTGCCAAAATAAGAGTACCAGAGGAGGCTTAGCTACCACATCCCTATAACCCAAGTCAGGGTAGGTCACGTGGGCTTGGCCCGCTCATTGAATTCTTCTCTTTGAGTAGCATCACTCAGACCTGCGAGTGCTCCCTAAGTGTTGTTATTGCAACTAGGGGCCTTGCAACCTTGTTGTGGGATTTAAGTTGTGCTTGTTTTTAACCATGTGAACCATTTTAGAGGGTGACCGGCACATGCTGAGGTTTGTGGGAAGTGGGAGAAAAATGCCACCACAGTTCTTTTAGCTAACATTTTGAATGTGAACAAAATCAACATAATTAGCTCTGCAGAGGGAGGTTATGGAGAATGCCATGGGACGGGGGTGGCTCCTGTGACTAAAATGACACCCAGAAGGTCTGAAAATGCTTTGGCACCGACCACAAATTCCTCACCATAGGTTTAATTTCATGTATGACGATTGCTTTTAGAGTGAAAATGTGAAGCGGCTCAGAGGTTATACCTGGCCATCAAATCCAAGCCCCTCTCCTGAGATGGGTGGCTTGCCTCTGATGACCAAGATATTTACAGTATAGCCAAGAAGCAAAAGTTCTCTCAAGATGGGCCTGTGCAGAGGGCCCAGGCAGCCTAACCAAGCCCAGAAGGACTGGCAGAGGTGAGAACGGCCAGGTAATGCCGAGGTGCTGGCCTCCTCCTGCCTGATGCCCACAGGGAGCCTGTCCTGGTGCGTGAAGGTTAACCAGGAGTGGCCAACAGGCCCTCCTGGCACAGCTCTGGGCCCCATACCCCTTGGAAACACATTCAGTTGGATAAATCCACAGCTGGAAAGGGCCTTGGCCCCACCCTCAGACACAAGCAAGTGCTACAAAGCAGTTTAGAATCCTCTGGGCAAAACTGGCCAGTGGGGTATGTCGTGGAGAATGGGAGCCTGACCTAGAGCCTAGGTGACATTTGCCTCACACACCGCGGCACATTCAGGCATTCACTTGTCAGCTTCTTCCGCTGCAGCTTATTTAAGAGTGTTATCAAAGGAGGCCGCCGGCCCAGGCCATTGGAACTGCTGCTGTGGACGCTTTGGTCTGATCCCGTCCACACACCATGAGCTCTCTAAATGCAGGAGAGAAACAGCGGCTCTGTGCCAGAATGCAGGGCAAGTCATGGAAACACTTGCAAATGTGGGCAGTGGTGGGGTTACCTCCGGGCTTGCCAGCCATTCTAGATGCCTCGCAGTTCTCGCTCTGAGGGATACTGCTGAAGGGCCTTACCCTCAGACGTCTGCAGGACCAGCGTCTTGCTGTACTGGCTGACTCCCGTTTTGTTGAAGGCCTTGATGCGAGCATTGTACGTGCTGTTGAAGTGAAGACCATCCACGGTGCACATGGTCTCCTTTCCTACATATACTTCCTGAGGGTCAGAAAAGAACGGGCCACCATTTAACTCTGAACTTGGCTCAGATAGTAAAGAATCTGCCTGCAATGCAGGAGACCTGGGTTCGATCCTGGGTTTGGGAAGATTCCCTGGAGAAGGAAATGGCAACCCACTTCAGTATTCTTGCCTGGAGAATTCTGTGGACAGAGGAGCCTAGCAGGCCACAGTCCATGGGGTCACAAAGAATCAGACATGACTGAGTGACTAACACAATACTTTGTTCTAAGTTGCTCAGGAGGCAAGTGTTGCAGGATGGATAAGAGAAGGTACTTTGGGGTCCGCCTGATCTGACTCATCCTGTGAGATACTGGGCTCTGAGCTGACCTCTTTTAGCTTCAGTTTCCTTCTCTGTAAAACTGGGACAAAAATACCTATCTTATGAGGTTGGTGTGTAGATTATATAAGGTCATATGTGCAAACTGACTAGTGTAGTGTCATGTATTTAGCGTGGGTCTGTCACCTCACTGAATGCTAGTTATTAGCAGATGAAGCTTCAAAGATTAAAACTGGGTATTTGGGGTCATAGCAGTCAGACAAGACTGAGCGACTAAACCACCACTACCACAGATAGCATTATCCTTATTAAGCTGGCATTTATTCAGTATATTATACCTACTGAGCTCTTTATTCACCAGTATGATTTGTATTTAAAAAATAGGTTTGAAAACATGAATGTGGTCTCTCTGGTATGTTTATAATCCACTGATAGCTTCAGGAACTGTCACAAAGATGACATTCAAAGCATAAGAGTTTTGAAGTGCAGGAAGGGAAATCATCACTTTTCAGATTTTTCCTCATAGTACAGAGGGAAGAGGGAGGAAACAGGGAAGGGAGGAAGAGCGGTATTTCAAAAGCTTAAAATAAATCCTAGCATAATGCATCATTAGCATAGGTTAGGTATTTACCTCCCTCTTTAGCTGTACATGTTGCAACATTACGCTGATGTAATGAGTAAAGATAATTTGAGTCCAAAGCGCAGCCTCAAAATGACAACTCCTTAGAGGGATGCTAGGAATACTGGTGGCTGGGTCTTCAGCATGCTAAGAATTTTACAGGAATGATTCAAGTGGCTCTTCACAACAATGCATGAGGCACATGTTATCATCTCCTTTTTACAATGAGGACCTGAAGGCTCAAAGAGGTGAGAAATGGGCACAGTCCCACAGCTTTAGGGGCTTGGTTGGGACTGGAAGGCAGGCAGCCTGACTTCAGAGCTTGCAGGACTGTAGGTACTTTCTCCTCAGAAGGGAGAGGCAATTTCTATTCCGGGACTCCTTCATCCTTCTTTGATGGGACAAGGATGAAGGCCTCAGATGAAGGGCGTGCAGGTCCTGCTGGGTTGGGTCTGAGGCTCTGAGGTGGGTCTTCTGTGGTCATTACCAGTTTGGTTAAGAAGAAGTAGGTTTGGCAACCCACTCCAGTATTCTTGCCTGGAAAATGCCATGGACAGAGGAGCCTGCTGGGCTGCAGTCCACGGGGTGGCAAAGAGTTGGACTTCGCGATTAAACCATCAACCAGTAGGTTCTCCACTTACCCGGAACTGACCGCCATTGCCGTCATCCAGCTCCAGAATGTATCCTTCCGCGGGCACCGTGGACAGAGGCGGCTGTTTCCAAGACAGCGTGGCGCTGTTGTTGTGGGTGCAGCAGTCCTCCAGCTGCAGGATGGGAGTCGCTGGGACTGGAGGGGAAGCTAAACAGAAATTAGAGTAACCCTGACTTCTGTGGAGCAGTCAACACTTCAGCATCTAGGAATGCTCAACACCCACTTGTAAACAAGTGGCTGGACTAAGTTCCTAGCCTGGGGAGCGGGGGGACCGGAATAGGATCTGCCTCACAGAATCTCCAGGCGTGGCAATCGTTTCTTCTCTGGTGCCTTTCCTTCACTGGTGTCTTTCCAAGTCCACAGTGTTGCTTCCTACCTAACTAGAGGGGAGATGACTCCTGTATTCTCATCCCCTTCGGCATGGAAGGCCTAACCTCTCAGGGAAATGTTTCCCGTGGCGTCCGGATTTCCCATCTTGACCACTAAAGCCTAGTTCATCCATAACATCGTTGATACATGTATCGTAAAGTTATTCTGAGCCCTTAAACTGCATTTAATAAAATGGGGACTGCCTATGCCGAGAAACAACTCTGAAATCACTACGTACCAGTTTAAGTTTCTTTCATTTTTTTATTAGTGATTCCACTCAAGATTTTATGCATGTAAGTAGCTACAGCTGTGGATTTTTGAAAATTTGGTACCAAGGGATACAAAAGTGATTTCTCAGTTTTGAAACTTCTGAGGAATTTGACAGCATTCTTTCCAGGTAACTATGCCTTGAAAATGGCACTAGCCCAAGTCTGTTTTTGTGCTGGTGTTTAGCAGTCAACTGTGAGTTGGAGAATACTATGGGGGCTGCCAGGGAGTAAGAGTGTCCTCCTGACCTTGTGAAAATCTGTCACGGTGTTACTAGTCACAATACCCCCTCCCGCTTCTGTGCTGAGTCTTGTATGAAAACTGCAGATTAATAGAGCCTTCAATCATATGACATACAAATATCAGGGAATGAATAATCCTCATTCCTAAGGTATGAACTCAATTGATGAATCTGGGAGCAGTGTTTTTACTAACTGCTTAAAAATTGTTTTCAGCACCAAAACATGATTTTATTTTTGTAGCACTTTTAACATGGGAGAGAGTGGTTTGGACCACGTCCAGGGATGTTCAGATGAACAAATGTTAATTGTGGAACACCTGGTATGCTGTACCAAAACTGAACTCAGAGTGTCATGCCCTAAATTAAATCTGCTCCTTGCCAGTCACCCCAACTAAGAAGAGAGTTACTTTAACAGTGGCTTAGAAAAAAGGTTTTGTGGTGGATAACCTAGAAAACAAAAGCAGGGACTAGGATATAAGAGATGTAAAGGTGAAGCAGGTCTATTATACTTAAGAAGGCTGATACATTACAATAAAACCATGTCTAACTTAACACATCAAACATAATTAAATCAAAATTATGACCAGTGAATTGGAGGTCATCAGTTTATGAAAGGAAATCCTGTTTCGAGTTTCAATGGCACAAAAAATGGAATCTTATCAGAGGACAATAGCTTTGCAGCCTCAGAAGTCCCAGAACATCTAGATTTGGAGAAAATGCACTGCTTTAGGCTTCCCTGGTGGCTCAGATGGTGGAGAATCTGCCTGCAATGCAGGACACCTGGGTTCAATCCCTGAGTCGGGAAGATCCCCTGGAGAAGGGAATGGCTACCCACTCCAGTATTCTTGCTTGAAGAATTCCATGGACAGAGGAGCCTGGTAGGCTACAGTTATGCGGTCGCAAAGAGTTGGACACTACTGACTAACACTTTCACTTTCATTCACTAAATAGAGTACAGGACTGGCTAGAAAGAGGAGGCAGGAGACAGAACTCCTTTGAATGATTCTAATGACTTTTCTAGGAACCTGTTCCCCTGGAGGAGGGCATGGAGACCTACTCTGGTATTCTTGCCTGGAGAATCCCCATGGACAGAGGAGCCTGGTGGGCTACAGGCCATGGGTCTCAAAGAGTCGGACACGACTGAGCGACTAAGCACATCACAGGAACCTGTTACTTAACTGGAGGTTAATTTAAGGTCACTATTTTAGTTAGAAACTTACTTTGTCATTTAAATTATTTCTATAGTAGAAGAATACCTCTTAACATATTAACAGTGGAGTAAAATCTGACCCTGAATACCCTTTGGAAGGACTGATGCTGAAGCTGAAGCTCCCATCCTTTGACCACCTGATGTGAAGAGCTCACTCAGTGGAAAAGACCTGATCCTGGGAAAAATTGAAGGCAGAAGAACAGGGTGAGAGAGGATGAGATGGTTAGATGGCATCACTGATTCAATGGACATGAACTTGGGCAAATGCTGGGAGATGGTGAGGGACAGGGAAGCATGGCATGCTGCAGTCCATGGGGTCATGAAGAGTCAGACGCAACTTTGCAACTGAAGAGTAACAACAACAAAATCTGACAAGTTTAAGCAAGCCGTTCTTCAGAGGGCTTCTGGAGACAGGCAGTGAGTCTCCTGGGAAATATTTCTCTTAACTGCTGGTATTGGTTAGGGACTTCCATAAAATAACAACTCCTTGGACTTTATTTCATTTTCTGCCTTATCAGTCTTCATTTTCCCTTTTTTCATGTTTCAGGCAAGTCTACATTTCACCAGTTTTAAAGTCAACAAGTAAGATTCTGAAAATGGTTTCAACTTGAATCACACAAATGCTTTCAATGTCTCTGATATGAAATTCACATTTCCCATATAGATATAGGTATAATTAAAAGATTCACTGAAATATATAGTGTCATGTGTAATTAAAACATGTGAACTGCCTTTGTAAGTACTCAGTGGGATATACTTTAAAAGGCCGAGTTAAAAAAAGTCTAACCAGTCTCTAATCTTCAGATCTTAACACTATCCCAAATTTAAGCAAATGAACAACAAAAAAGCAAATTAGAAAGAGAGAGGAAGAGAGAGAAGGAAGGAACCTGGGAACATTTGCATGTGTCTAAATCTATTTCTCAATGTGCTGAGAATTATTTTTTCTTTTTCCTTATTTACCCCAAAGTGACATTGAATATAAAAGGAAATGTGACAAAATTACACTCTTGTTAACAAAGACTAAGGCTGGCATTTCAGAATAACAGATTTTATATTGGGTGTTGTATCTTTATGACCCTTTTTCAATTTATTAGGTATAAAATAAATGGCCTACAAGAATTCAGAGTATTTTCAAATGGATTTATCCCTTATGCTTTGGAAATGGACAGCATTACACTTCCTGAGCTGAACTCTGAGAGAAAAGGTTTTGTTTTATTGAAATTCCTATAATTGGAGCTATAATAACTATCTTAACACATTCATGATCGTTCCTGGACATCTTTATTTTTCCTAGATAACTAGTTTCCCCTGACCTGATGAATTCTAGTGCTCAGTATCCTCTTAGCCTGTAAAATCAAGCTTCTGGCTAAAAATTCTCTTAGACACAGAATGGTAGCTGTTCTTACTGACTTCCTTGGGGTCTGGTGGAGCCTCATCTCAAAATTAAATTCTGCCACTGTGGCCTGTTATACCAAGGTTTTCAAAAGCCTTACCTTTTTAAGGTCATTCTAGTTCAAATTATCTCTCATGATTTTCACATTGACTTACTTTTCTCTCTCATCCTTCAGACTGACAGCCCTCACACCATCCAGAACTCCTCTGTGAGGGTTCACAAGGGTGCGGTGAGGACAAGGGAGACCAGGGAGCTGTGAGGGAGCTGCGAGAAGGCCTGTGAGGTGGAAATACTGCTGAGGGCCAGGCTCTGGGGAGGGGCTTACACGTGTCCACTCACTTAATTTTCAACACCAGCCCACAAGGTAGGTACTGCTATTATCTCTATTTGCAGACGAGGGAACTGACACACAGGAAGGATTCAGGGCGAGGCAGTGGCAGAGCTGGGTTTTGACGCCCAGCAGGTTGGCTCCCTGGGCTGGATGTTTACACCACTACCTCTCCAGTCTGGGGCTCAGTAATAGTGAGTTAGAGGGAGGGTGCAGGCCTAATTCCAAGAGCAGTGTTTCTTCTTAGTTCCTATAATGTGAACGATAAAGCTTCTCAAGAATTGCTGGTGTAGATTGTAATAGTTCACCTTAAGAGCTGTAGTGGCTGGGAGAGCAATTTTACTGTCATCATCTCTGAAGGTTCCTTTGTGGACTGTCATTCCTTTTTATGATGGTTGAACAATACAAATAGCATCTGAGCAAAGTTTAGACTTTAGCAGAAGAATAGGCTGTTTCTGGAAAGCTGGCATTAGTCCTTTGTGGAGGATAAACTTGCACACAGGCTTTGAGGACATGAATTCCAGGCTCCCAGAGCATGAACAGATTTCATGCAAGTTCCCACATATGGGGGCGTCCCTGGTGGTTCAGTGGCAAAGAATCTGCCTGCAATTCAGGAGATGCAGGTCCAATCCCTGAGTTGGGAAGATCCCCTGGAGAAGGGAATGGCTACCCACTCCCGTATTCTTGCCTGGGAAATCCCATGGACAGAGGAGCCTAGTAGGCCACAGTCCATGGGATTCCAAGAGTTGGACACGACTTTGTGACTAAACCACCACCACCACCACCCCATGTATGCTAATCCCCATCTTTGCCAAACCTCTGGGTGTTCTTTTTCCATGATCTATAGGAGAATCTGTTTAGATCACATTGTCCTTGCCCATGACCTTGGTGCATATTCAGGGCTTTTTAACATTCAACATGAGTTAATGGAGATTACTGTGTCCTTAGGTGAGTAGAGGCACTCAAGAGATTAATATCTGTTGGTCTATGGGTTAAAAAGGCTTGATGAACTGTCAGGTCAATGTTTCATCCTGGGTCAGAATGAACACCCTGGCATCTGGTGTTTTATTTTAGCACTAACTCATGAACCTTGGGATACTTTGTGTCCTTAAACAATTCTGGGGTGATAATATTTTTCTGGGAGAGAGTATGTATCTGGAATCTACTCTGAACCAAGCAACAGAGCCCTTGATAGACTGGCAAAAAAGGTATTAAAATTTCCTTCCCATGACCAGGTAAAAGTTGAAAATAGCAATTTAGGATTAAGAAAAAATGTTTCTATTACTCTATAATAAAAACAGAAAACAAAGTTTAATTGGTTGTTTTCTACAAAAGAAAAGCTTGAGAGATCAAATACCACTCCCAGTAGTCTGGAAAGAGGGTAAGATGATTTTCTAATCAAAATGCAACTGGAAAAATGCCCTTACATTTTGTGATGTTTGAACAAAGAGGGTACCAACATTCTTCATTCAGATCTCAATTGCTTGAGGGTGATATGGAATCCAAAAGAGCAGATCAGTTGAATCCTTAGCTAATAAGAAAATAATTTTAGACAATGCATTTTAGTTGAGTAGCAGATGCTGTGAGAATATTTTAAAATTAGCAAGAGACCTATCTTCTCTGATGTTAAAAAAAAAAGGCATCTGAGATAAAATTTCAAAACCGGAGAGATTCTCAAATTTTGAGTCAGGAAGTAGACAGATATTTTAGTTGTTAAGTTTGAGTCACAGACTTAAATGCCTATTTCAAGTAACTTTGGAAATATTTTAAACTTTCTACTAATCCCCTTAGCACAATTAGAAATTATATATTGAAACCAACATATTGTTAATCTTACAATGGTCAGATTAACACCATTTCAAGTGCTACTTAAATTTGGCTATTACTACATGGATATGAGGGTGCAATTTCTTGAGATATTTTTCCTGACTGTGAAGCTCAGTTTGCTAAACTGACTATGAATATCCTAAGAAAATAAAAAGACCAACAACGCACTAGGCACGGTTGTGTATATGCTAACAGACATCAAAGGGGCAAGCAAGAGAAGTCTTAACTGCAGGTAACTGAGTTCTGGGTCATGAGCTTTTGGCTTTTTCTCTCCTTTGAAAGTGTGACAGATAAAAATTATTCAGATTTTAAGGAGGACTGGGTTGTTACTGAATTAATTAAATTTAGTGAACACAACACACACACATAAACATATGAATTAACTCCTCAGAGGGATACTTATCTGAAGCAAATAACATGAAGTATTAAAAAGAAATGGAAAATTAAATAATCTAGTCTCATATCAAGTGGCCTACTATATTAACTGTTTTGGATAATTTTGTATTCTAGGTGAGTTTTTGCTATAAGAGTGTTCTGCATTTTGGCCTTTCACGTGCATGGCATTCTCTGCTGTGTGTACAGTCATGTCCATAGTTACGCCTGTGTGCAGCCCTAAGTGGCCACGTGATAATGCTTTAGGAGTGTGATCTGTGATGTACAACACGTGAATCTGTAATTGCTAGCTCCAAGGAAGGGCCCGTTCATTCCAATACAATTGTTACCACTGTGTCAGCTGGCCTGGACTCCACCATGGCAGATGGACATCACTCAGAATGGATGGGGGAGGAGAGGGCTTTCAGCTGATTAAAGCATCTGAAAGCCCTTCGGCCTCTATGCTCTACCTGCTCCTCCTCCTGCCCTATCACCAAGGCTAATTGGATTGACTCTTTTTTTTTTCTTTCTTTCACCAAAAGCTCTTACATTGCCCTTTTGTGACACATTTTCTCCTCTGAGCTACTTGTGACATAACCTTTTAATGATTCTACCTTGTTGAAGGAACTGGGGACAGAAAGAGGCTGATCAAGGGGGCTCTGCATATTATTGGGATGGTGACACACCACAGGCTATCATGTAGGTGTTAAATTTTTTTTTTAAAGCCTGAAAGCATTGCTGCAACAAAAAAAAATTTTAAATTTCTCAAGTTTAAGAGACGAATTCAATTACTTTTTGAAGAAGTGGTAAGGCAATAACTTGACAGCACAAACTGGAAGTTGTGGGTGTGGGTTCTGGAGCCATGCTCCATGGGTTTGAATTCTGGCCCTGCCAGTCACTAGCTGGGTAAGCCCAGGCAAGTGACCCAGTCTTCCTGCACCTCAATGTCCTCAGCTGCCTACTAGGATTGGGAGAATAAAGTGAGTTAATCCATAGAAAGCATTTTGTAATCCATGGAAAGAGTATGTCTGATTTGGTAGGCAGCCAGTAAAAGCTAAATGTTTTTGTTACTACAACAAAGCATTTTTATTTACAATCTATACACTAGTTACTTTGAAAATTAATAAAGGCATTATCCCAAAGCAATACATATTAAACAAAAAGGTGAGGAAACTGAAGATAAAAGAGGACAAAAACTCATTAAGAGGATGAGAGAAGTACTGTACATTACCCAGGACAGGAATGTGTGTAACTGCATGATGTAGTATAGACCCCTAACACCTGCAGGGTTATATGGTTCTGTCTAATAAAAGGACATATGCAGATTTTTCTTAAAACACAAAAATTCTAAAGCATTGGATTCTAAGTTATTTATTACATGGATGCTTAAACTGGGAGAAAGTGAAAGTAAAAGTGAAGTCGCTCAGTCGTGTCTGACTCTTTGCGACCCTGTGGACTGTAGCCCACCAGGCTCCTCCGTCCATGGGATTCTCCAGGCAAGAATACTAGAGTGGGTTGCCATTTCCTTCTCCTAAACTGGGAGAAGCAAAGAGCAAATCAATTACTTTAGTTTTAAAAAAGATCAGAAAATGACAAAGTTATGGAGATGGAAGCCAGATCAGTGGGGATGGGGGACTAAACCGGGCAGATGAGGGAAGGCTTTGATGGAGTAGTTCTGTATCTGGACTGCAGAGGTGGTTGCACATGTGACGTGATGGCACTGAACTACACATATACACACACCGTACTGATGTCAGTTGTGATGTTTTGTGACAGTTATGTCAGATGCAACCATGGATGGAAACGGGATGAAGGGTATAGGGGACCTCTCCTTACTATTTTTGCAACTTACTGTGAATGTATAAGTTATTTCACCATAAAAAGGTTTTCAAAAATCAGAAATATTTTTCAAATGGGATATTACTTACACTGCCATAAAAATATTATTGCATGGTTGGCTCGAGTTTTTACGTTTTCTCCAAAGAATTATATTCCTTAAGATAATTTTAAGTACTTGTATGTCCCCTCAGCAGATACGACAAATCTCCGAGATCTTGCCACACCCCTTAATTTCAGAGACCAAAAAATTTAAAATGTTAACGTTTTTATTAAATACTTTCATTTTCCTTCTGCACCCAGGCTCTCATTTTCCTGACCAGTGTAGGCAAGCCAATTCTGATCCTCTCAAATTCCTGCTAATCCACAATCAACTGTCTGCCATTATCTCTATCCCTGTAGAAGTAGTTTCAATGCTGAACTCCCTTGATTTATATCAATATATCAGGGTTACCATCTGTAACAAGATGTTATTTATGTACAGTGATGTTCTTTCTCTTTCTTCCTCTAATGCTGAACATGTGAAATCTCTTAAGTCTCTCAAAAAGGCGAGTATTGAGTCCATATGATTTATCTGACATTCCAGCTACAAGGATACACATTTCCATTACACAATAAGATGGGAGCTACTCCACACTTTTGTAACACTAACCAGAGGGGTGTGTGTGTGTGTGTGTGGACTTTCTCACCTCTCAGCTGATTTATAAACCTGGTGGCTGCCTTTTATTTGCTGCAATCTGCAAGCTGCCTTTACCCTGCTTCCAGCAGGGAGTTGCTCTGACTGCGTGGGGCACAGGCACGCACCTTTCATCTGCACAAAGTCGAGCTGGTGGATGGACTGCAGCAGGGGGCTGTTGTCCAGACTCAAGTCGAAGTCCGTGGTCATCCTGGGAGTGAGCGTGCCTTTCCCCCACTGATCCTCAGTCAGGTGCACTCTCCTTATGAGGGCATCAGAAATCTATTGGAATAAAGAGCATAGCCTAAGACATACAACCCCACACTGGGCACTCAAACTGCTTTTTGGCTCTCCCAAAGTGCCCCACCAAGTGCCTTGGGACCCACACCCTTCCTGTTTCTATGCAGGCAGCGAGGAGCTTCTGATGATGAGAGTAACCTGTGATTTATCATGAAAATCTGAATACTTCTGGGACTCAGAGGGATCACTATTTATAATTAGAAGCTGTTAGCTGCTCTATTATATGATCTGGATACATGATCATGCTATTTATGACTGATCAGCTAAAAGCCAACAACATTCAGTAGCGATATGTTTAGCAATTACTGAAATCCACTAGCACCAACAATCATAGGTTTCTGATATGAGCTATGGGTATCATGTCAAGACCTAAGACCTAATGACTTTTATTAAGGGGTCAGAGAGGTTGCATATGATCATCTGTAAGATAAGATTTCCTTACATCATCTTCATGCATGATCTGATTCTTTGGTAGAGGACTTTTTCATTTCTTATATTTAGCCCCCCACCTCTATCATTCTTGGCCAGTTTGGTAGAATGTTAGTTGGAAGGAAGCTACATGTTCATTAATCAAAGGTCCATTAATCATTGGGATCAAAAGTTAAGTAAAATTTAGCTGACATCACAGCATGTCACTAAAACAACACTAAAGAAATCATGAGACATCCAAACAATGAAAAATTTTCACTCTGTTTGGGAGATCACTGACTTGCCAGAAGGAGGTGTAAACAAGGTAGAAACATGTGTATACTTACATTTCTGACAAAACTGTCCAAGATATTAGTAAAGGGACCCAAATCTTATAATAAGTTTGCTTTGGAGCAACTTAGAGGGAATTATGTTTTCATGATCAAATATAAACAAAAACAAATTTAAAAAGCCTTTTTAGTCTTGGAGCCCATGATGGTAGAATCTTCTGAGAAGCCAGTGACGTTCCAAAGGCACCCACATCTACATGGCAACACAAAAGTGGGTTCCACTGTGGAGCGGCCCATACCCAGCTAGGTCTGTTGGGAGTCTGGCCTTGGCATCATAGAGTCAGTCTCATGGAACACTGAGAATCTGAAGCAGAAACTTGCTGACACTTACCTGCAAAAAGCCACTAGGATCATTTTCCTTAATCACCTCCAGGCAGTACTCCATGAGACCCGTGGTCTGGCGCAATTTCACTGTGCAGTGAGAGATCTGATCTCGAACCACCTAGGATTGATGGGACAACAGAATGGTCCAAAGTGGCAGAGGGTAGAAAAGAAAGCAAACGAGGACTTTGGAAAACTTCTTCAAACCATGATCCAAGAGCATCATGGAATGGAACTCAATTTATGAGAATATTTTGTGGCAGTGTCTGCTGGGAACAATGGCTCTGGAAGACGGATTGGATAATGGCTCTTGCGGGGAGGGATTTGTAACAACTGGAGCCATCAGAAAGGCACACGGTTGTTGGACCTCTGGGAAGCTGGTTACCTTGGTGCCTCAGGGGACATCTTCCACAGGTCTCCGTCACTCCCCTCTCTGGGAGCTGCTCTAAGTGGGAGGTCATGGGAGGGTCTGTTAATGACTAGGTGGCCAGAAGTGCAGCTGCAGCGTCTGTTCTGTGACATAGCCACCCACCATCTTTGCTTGCCCTCTACCTGTCCCTTCTAAAGAGCAGATATCACCCTCTGAAATCAGATCCTCTCTTGTTCTGATTCTCTTTTCCCTGAGTGGGTGGTAGGGTAAGCCTAGAAGTGGTTGCTAAAAGACAATGAGCTAATAACAGCAAGTATGCCAGACACAGATGGATACAGAATCAAGTTATAATCTACTTAGCATCACTCACTGCCTCATTTGGGAAAGCAGTTTTAAAGGCTATTTGCTCAGCGATGAGTCTGTCTAACCTAGAGAGGTATCTCTCTGAACATGCAGTTTCTGCCTCTGGGAAGTTATCTTTGCCGTGTCAAGTGCATGGCACTCTTTGAAAAATTTCTTTCTTTAGAAATGCTTGTCTTCTCTGTCCCTGCTCAGTGACCCAAATCCTGAAGCAGGTTTTGAAGCATAGAATTGAGCAAGGGCTCTCTAGGAACCTATTACTCACCTTCTGTAATTGTACTATTTTGCAAAAGCCTCAAAAAAAAAAAAATAAATAAATAAAATAAAACCAAACCCCAAATCCCCCCAGGATCCTGGATTTTATGGATAACTAAAAGGGGTTTTAATAATAATTATTTAAAAACTTTCCCTTATTCCCTGTTCAGTTTTGATTATAAATTTATTTTCCATGAATGATGATTACATCCTGTTTCAAAAACAACAGGAAAATAGGTTTAAAAAAAAGCAAATAGTCTCACTACTCCAATGCAAATTTTTAAAGAATTTTGATGTTTCCTTTTAGTTTTTCTCCCTTGAGCTAGATTTAGTTATAATTGCAACTATAGTATGTGACAATTTCACCTCTTTCCCATTTAACACCATATCACAGGCATTTCTGTGTTGCCACCATCAACAAATGTTACTGACTACATAAATACTCTATAGTGGGTTAAATTTATTTAACCTATATTTTGACAAAGTTCTTTCTAATTTTTTAACAGTTAATTAATTCAATATTGTTGATCTTCTCATAATTATTTTATTGTAATAAAATATATATAACATATAACTTAAACCATTTAAACTGTTTTTAATTGGACAATCCTGTGGCACTAAATAAGTTCACATTGTTATACAACCATTACCACCAACCATCTCCAAAACTTTTTCTTCTTCCCAAACTGAAGCTCTGGACTTTTAAAACAATAACTCTACATTCACCCCTCCTGCCAGCCTCTGGCAACCACCATTCTACTTTCTGTCTCTGTCAACCTGACTATTCTAGGTACCACATACACGTGGAATCATACAGGATTTGTCCTTTTGTGACTAGTTTATTTCTCTTATGTAATGTCTTCAAGGTTTATCCATGTTATAGCTTGTGTCAACATTTTCTTCAAGACTGAATAATATTCCATTATACGTATATACTACATTTTGTTTATCCATTCATCTACTGATGGACATCCGTATTTGTTCTGCCTTTTGGCTATTTTGAATAAACTTATGAACATAAGAATACAAATATCTGTGTGAGTGTCTGTTTCACTTTTTTCTTTTTTTTTGGTGGGGGGTGGGGGGGAGTTCATATACCCTGAAGTGGAATTACTGACTTGTATGGTGTTTCTATTTTAATTTTTTTTTTTTTGCGAAATCACCATACTACTTTCCACAGTAGCTGTATCATTTACATTCTCACCAACAATGCACAAGGATTCCAATTTCTTTACATTCTCACCAACACCTATCATTGTCTGCTGTTTTTTTTTTTTTTTTCCAAATAGTAGCCATTCCCTCATGGCTCAGTTGGTAAAGAATCCACCTGCAGTGCAGGAGACCCCGGTTTGATTCCTGGGTCGGGAAGATCGGCTGGAGAAGGGAAAGGCTACCCACT